AAAAGTTGGTGGCTATGTAATAATAGTTTCACTTTAGTTTTAATAAAGCAATGTCTAGGCAATAAAGCTCTGATAATAAGCCTATCTCTCACCGTAGTTTGGTTACTGAAACAGGCTGTTAATCAATTATTTTTCGGGAATGTCAGGAAACGTATCGATTACGTTTACCAAATAACAAAATATCGGAAACCGTTACCGACTCCGATGTAAAAGTTTCAAGTAATTACGGATAATTTCGAATTTTATGTCAGATATTTATCTTATTACGACTTCACTGTTTACTTTTAAGCTCAGGATATAGCGTAACCTCCTTATTCATTATCATCATCATCAACCTATTAATGTCCCCACTGCTGGAGCACAGGCCTTCCCTATGGATGGAATAGGAAGATTGGGCCATGACCCATCACGCGGGCCCAGGGCGGATTGGTGGGTGCTAACGACTGCAGATGCAGCCGAGACCAACGGCTTAACGTGCCTTCCGAAGCAAGGAGGAGGTCGAGATAGTAAATTTTTGGTCACCCATCCAATGACCGACCACTGCGAAAGTTGCTTAACTTCAACGACCGCAGCCGAACGCGCTAACCACTTGCGCCATCGAGCTCCTCACCTCGTTATTAATTCACTAATAATATTATTTAACGAGTAATAAGCAGAGACTAGTTACGCCGTGTTTTTTTCATATCACTTAAATGCCATTTGTCATTCGATGAACAAACCATGAACAGAGAGAACCAAACATGGAATAAATAAATCCAAACTTATTCTATGTTTATTATTACCATATGTTTATTATATTTACCCCCCTTGGTTCAGTATTATCTAGTTTGCACTTTATGTCACATTCGATAATTTAGGTCACGTTTACATCAGTATGCTGTCGGTATTCAATCTCGCCGCACATTAAATATCAATTATCTTATCATTGTTATAAGTTTAATTTGTTGAATATATCATTTATTTTATATCAGGACTTTCACTTTATCATAAAAAGTTGTGCACACCCTACACTTAGGCCCTTATTATAGAAAGATTCTCAGTGATTGATCTAGTCTTGAGCATAGTTAGAAAGGGATGTCGCTATATATAGCACATAGCGACATCCCTTTCTTACTGTACTCAAGTTAAGATCAACACTTAGTTGTCATTCTGTAATACGGACCTTAGACTAGTTACGCCGTGTTTTGTTCATATCACTCAAATGCTACTTGACATTCAGCAAACGGAGTCAAAACATGGATTTACTATACCCAGCTTAATTAAAGTTTATTTATTAATAAGAGGTTCCACTATAGTAGTACGTATATAAAATTGGAAGAGCATCAATTAAAAATTCAATCCGTCCAATTTTGTACGAAGTTTAAATTAACACCTGAGTTTTCCACTCAATTAACTTAAGTATTTTGTAATTATAGACTAGAGGTTCCATGTGGTTTTACCCGCGTTAATATGAGGGAAATGGCTATAGTGAGTCAAAACTTAAGAGATAGAGATATGCTGCCGTGGAGTTTTTTTAAGAACTTTTAAAGGGAAGCAATTACGCTGTTCGTGATATAGTAACTTTTACCGTTTACGCTTTAACCGTTTGTAATTATAGACTAGAGGTTCCATGTGGTTTCACCCGCGTTAATATGAGGAAAATGGCTATAGTAAGTCAAACTTAAGAGATAGAGACATGCTGCCGTGGACTTTTTTTTATAGAACTTTTAAAGGGAAACAATTCCGTTGTAACGAAAAGAAAGCTAAAAACGAAAGCTTTTGAGAGCTCTCAAACGGAATATTTTTCTTCCAGTTATTGCAAAATGTTTCATCAATGCTCCGCTCAAATTGATCGTAGAGTGATTTTATATAGCATATAGCCTTCCTTTTTTTTTGAAGTCGTATCAGTAGTTCCTAAGATAAACGCGTTCAACCGAACAAACAAACTCTTCCGCTTTAAGTATAGATTCTGAAAAGTCCACCTCAGTATATTAACCACCAAGACCCGAACAATGGTATGGCACTTTAGGTGTACCATATAACAAAATTGTCACTTCCGTGCCTTAATGGCCGCGCGACCGACCGGCGCCTAAAATGTGAGAATAATATCGGAGTTAATAATCGCTACACGTTAATTTGTTCCGCTGAACGATAATTATAAGCCTGAAATATACACGACGCTTTGGGGGCCGATGTTTCAAGGATATTCACGCAGTTGCGGACATGTTACAACACGAAAATGCGTGTAATTCTTTTATTGTATGGGTTGTTGAATAAGCGACCCTCCACCCCATGTTTTATTAACTGTGCTTGGGAAATATCTCCAGTGGTTTCAGGTTCGCAGTATAGAAACAAAGCTGTAATGAAAAGCGTTTAAGTAAAGAGTCCTAATGTCACAAAGGTTGTCTGACCTGTTTTAAACATTTTGTAACTGACGGTTACACATAATTTAATGGCGCCTATCCTAGGGCATATTCTAAGAATACAAAAGCTGTTCAAACCTTAATTAGTTTTATAATTAAATACTAAAAGCAAGCATAAATTTAAGACCGGGGCGGAAAGAACTCCCTATCTACTAAGTAAGGTGCATTAAAATAGAAGATAAATAATGAAGTCTTGGTTGAAGTTAGTTTAAAGCTATTGTTCTCGAGAAGAAAAACTTAGCTCCCTAGTTTCTTACGCATTAATCTATATATAAAGTTGCAATAATTTCCAAAACTACTGTTTACGGGTCACTGAACTATAACCCTTGTGGAATGGATGTAAAAGATTGTTGAAATGGTCTTATCTTTTATCACACAAAAAATACTAGTAATTAGGAATTCACAGATAGAGTTCCTCAGTCGGGTTTTTTGTGTTAAACTTATCACATAAAAATATTGATTTAAATACGACTGCCCTCCAAGAACCAAACTAGAAATTCAAAAACAAGTTCAAAAAGACATAACAGTGGGGCAACCGTTCTGTGAAACTTTAAAATCTGAAAAATCTACAAGGAAAGCTGGTCTGACTGAAAATAACGCCCCAATTACACATCTTCATTTTATTTTCAAAAATTAGCAAACAAAGGAGTTTCAAGTGATGAAAAAAAAATTGTAGATCCAATAGCAACCAACAGCTAAGTTATGGGACGTTTGAATTTTACAATACCCTAAAAATCAAATGTATTCAGGCAGTTTAAAGTTATTAAATAAGGCGAAACAAAGAAACATTCATACAAACGACTAAAAATACATGAAACCTGAAAACGTAGCACAACTTTTTGGCAGTCATATAAAATAATTTGCTTTGGATAGAAAAGTGACAGTAAATAATGGTTAGTTTGATACATTACCTTGAAAATGGACACTGACCCGTACACCACTTAAATTCGAGCATCAGATTAAACACGGTGAAGGAAGGAATAAACTAAACGTTAGAGGTGGTCGTGTTAAAAGGCCGATAGGATAGCCTTGAAGATAACGCGACCCCTACAACCGCTGCCATTGAAGAAATGAAAAACGTCGAAACCAATAGTGTACTGTGGAAATACGTCTCACTTCATTTTTTAATGAAATGTAGCGTTGTGTAGTATTAATAAAAAATATATTTTACTTTTTACATTAATATAAGTACCTAGAGATTCTAGTGAAATTACGCGGATGCGAAACGTGGAAACCTACAAAGGTTTTTCCAATTAACTTCAAGTCCTTGTTAACCAATGCTTTCGGCGAATCCTCAGTGTTTACTGGCTCGGCATTGTCTAGAACGAGGACTTGCGGCAACGTTTCCACGAAACTCCAAAAGACAGCAATAACAGCTGGATGAGACAAGTTCCTGTCATATAACTGTTGTATTTGTTTTTCACCCATAGAAATGTTTGATGCATACTCTGCCGCAGGGTACGGTGACGGGATTATGTGAAATTCCTCTCCTCTCCTCTCCTCCCGTCTACCGTCTAAATTTGCCCATATGACGGGCTCAATGGCTGCCCGGGATGGGGGAGCCCTATCCACCACAGACTCCGGGATGTGCTACGGTATCGCACTGCCACCGGCTTTAACATATAACTCAGCCTAGGAAAGAAAGCGTAAACATGGATGTTCCAAAAGAAGCTGGCGGCGCATGTTGAGAGACGAGAAAAAGAAGATCGAGAAGCCTCACAGTGAATTAAAGTGAGAACCTCAATAGCGATTAGGCCTCTGTGGAACCCATTGGACTTTGAGTCAAGTAGAGTAAGTCACCTTTTAATTCAAAACGTATATGATAAAATAAAGAGAGCTTTGGAAGTACACACAATTTGTAAATCTCGCGCGTAGGCTTTGCGGCTGTATTGATGATGAACTTTAAACGTAAGGCAAATACAGCAGTTAGAATGGGATACTCTATTGCATGCAATTGACGTATTTGAGTGCAATCCACAATTGATAATTGAGAAATTAAATTAAATTAGTAAAGTAAAAAAAGAAATAATTCTTGAGGTACATTTGTTTGAAACTATTCATCTGATAAAACAGTTTTAATTAGTTATATATGTCAAATTAAAATATACATATGGCTTACAACATTTGAATGATCTTTCCCAAGTCTGAACTCTAAGACTCATTTGAAAATCTAAGTTTATTTTTACCGAACACGTAGTAGTGAGTAGTTCATTATTTTTAGGTAAATAATGTTGTGAATATTCCTAATGTATATTTTGCGGATTATGCTCAAAAATGCTTTTGATTGTTGTTAGGTTCACAACTACGTTTTAAATTCGCACTTTCTATTTTTTTTAAAAGAAGCGCAACGTCCCCTCTTTCTCTGCTTAAATTTGTACAGTTTTCAAATATCAGTGACATTTCAGCCAATTTAATTCAATTTCTGTTCCTCGAAAGTATCGTTTTCATTGCTGCGTTTTTCCTCGACTCTGTGTTTATATCGCTTGCTACTCAGCAGTGTACGGCTTTATTAAGCTTCCCAAAAGCTTCCTTTGCGCATGTTATATACCTAACACAACAGTTTCAGAGCGGACCTCGGTTTCAGTAGGCTCGGAACCTTCGTGGAGTGAAGTCGTGTTATGTGATTGCGCGTCCGCCGCGAAGTTTAGCCCACTCGGATATCGAAAAGAGTAATCATCTTTAGAGAAAAGATCGAGACGTTTATTGGACTTGAGTTTTGTTTGTGGTGATCGGACATTCGAAAGGTAAGTTGACGTGTTTGATACTTAATTTAGAAATATAAATTATCACTGTGATAATAAACACTTTGAAGGTGTTCAATAATAAGTAGTACACTGTTTAATCTATTGAATTAAAATAAACCAAAATGGATTATTCTATTCGTATACATAATTGTTTTTTTTTCAAAGTCACTCTCACGTTTCTTGATTACCTTATACATGGAAATCTTAAGTCATGCTTACGGTGAACATTATTTTAATTATAACGCTAACCTAATTGCGTGTTTTAACTTAAGTAAAACTTTTTGGTAAATGTTTATAAATTATAAATCTCCGCCTCTTTAGTGTAACTTCTAAAGTTTATATTTTTTTTGTTTGTAAGGTGTATATTTAAGGATATAATTTAGATATTCGATTAATAATGTAGAAAAAAGTGTGGTTTAAAAATGTTTTTGCGGGACTGGATTTCATTTTCAGATATTAAATGAAGAATTATACTTATTAAAATTATTTTTGACTTTGGATATTAACAATATAATGAAATTTTGGAGGGCTACTCAAATTCAACGGAAAACGAAACTTCATTCGAACCTTCGCAGGCTTCTTCGCACACTATGTTTCTCATTTCTTTCTAAGTATAATCATATTCGTTCGCCCAAAAATAGATAAAGGTTTAGATTTTCTAAGCCTAACCAAAACAAAGAATGAATTTGATAGTTTATCGTTTAAATTAAGTAAGTATAACTTTAAATTGACGAAATTATATTTCGTTTATGCTTCTTTACCGAAAATTCGTTTCGGAGAAAGAGAGCTAGCCCCTCGGATTCTTTTTGGAGGAGTAAAGAGTATTTCGTGTGTTTTTTTGTTTGTCTTGTTCACGTTCTACACGTGTATTAAGTTTGATTCAATCTTATTAAAGAAATGCGATAGGTGTATATACATTATCTACGGGAGAAATGACGACGAGCGATCAGTGCGGATTTATTTATTTATTAATTTTATTCTTCATGCACATACTGTACAATGGCGGACTTAATGCCCTAGGCATTCTCTACCAGTTAACCACAGGGTGTTGTGGAGATTTTAGTGGTAGGCTGCACAAGTCAGGTGGAGATCACATTTAAAGAAATATTAATTTTACTCATAATAAATATAATAATATAACAATAACATACCTATATAAGTAAATATATACAAATAATATAACTAAACACATACATACACATACATACTTCGTATAATACATACATGACGACAAACTACTTAACGAAACGAAAAAGGTTCGCAGTTTATTATCGGAATTGTGAGATGGAACGACTAGTAAACGAATGAAAGAAGATCTAAGATTAAATTTAAGTATAAAAACGAATATGATTATAATTTAAGATTTATGGATTCAACCATTTAATTATTTATCTTATATACTATTTATCTTATATATTATTCTACATTAGATAAGTGATTAGGACTTGGATAACTTAAAGGTTCTCGAAATGTTATCGTCACATAGGAATACGTGATTTACACTGTACCTCATCATACATAAGATATATAAAAATATATCAATTGTATAAAAAAATAATTTCGGGGAAGGTTATACTAACCATAAAATATTTATATCATTTTAATTATTTAGAGGAAGCTTACTTTACACTTTAGGTAAATTGATCAATACTTATAACGTTGGTTTTGGGTAGTTATGCTCTCTTAAAAGTCTCTTCGGCGGAGTCGTGTGACCGAGGTCGTTACGTTCCCTTAAAATATGGTTGAGCAATGCGATGGCTGGTTCATGCGTCATGCTCGTGAACGGATGCTGCCAGCGCAGACAGTTTTTTGCTACATTGGTTACTATTTATTAGAATAATTCACTTTAATCGCATATAATCTGCCAGAACTGTATGACACAGCATTCAAAAAATATGTATTCCAGTCAGTATTTTATTAATTGCAAGTATGTTCCAAATTATGTGATGGAGTAGGTGACTTCATGAAGCATCTCATATTGAAGTCATTTTTCAACTTGACGATTCTGTATATATTAAAACAGGGACAAAAAACAAACCTTGCTGAGTTTCTTGCGTAGCTCCTTGACATTCACAAGTTCTTGTACCAGCTTAACTGAATAATCGATTTTCAATTCTATACATAAACTAAAAGTGAAAAGAACTTAATTCAAATTTAAAGGATACTAGAAAATTCTTTGTATAGTATTACGTCTCTTTTTTCTTTAGAAGGTAAAGACTAATTACGGAAAAATACCGACAACATTAAAATAATAGTGCTAACATTTACAAAAAACAACGTGCGTTCTAACAATGACAATTGAAAAGCATTCCACTTTGATAACGCCCTTTGTAGTTGGTATATTTATATAATCCAAGTATTTCTGTCTTCTACATAATGAGCCACAGCCAGACACCTATTAGCTTTCTTAAGAAGTAAGTAGACTTTGAAGTTGTAAACTGAACTATAATCGGTACCCTTAGCTTGAACCAATATCGAATTCGTATCGTTTGCGATTCCGACATGTCATTGTCAAATGTGTACTGATTTTTAGTTCTCGTTACGTACTTTGTGCCGCTGCTTTTCAAGATTCCATACAAAATTTGACATTGACATTTCGGTTTGCAAACTATTCGAATTCGATAATGGTTCGTGCTTGGGGTACAGGCCTGGTTGTTGATACGTAGTACGTAACGTGACCGTACCTAAACAAAAACCTTTTTATGAATTATTGATTTTGTAGAGCCTAATATGGAAGGTGAAGCTAATTTGTTTTTGTTATCCATGTTCTCCATGATGATGATAACATAACCAGTGTTATCGAATAATGTACAAACTGACCTTTTTAATTGTCCAAGTAATTTTGTAGACTCTGATATTGTTTACTGGAAAAATACTGGAAAATGCGTCATTTCACAAACGAAAACGACAGTTTTCGTGACGCATAAAGGCATTTCATTTAAATGTTGCTTGATGTGTCTGTTCATGATTCCTGCCTTAGCTTCTTTTGATAATAATTGGTGTTTGAAACCAAAATAATGAAAAAGGATCTTGAAGAAGTACAAAAAGTACTTTTTATTACGAAAATTAAATCTACAAGGGGTAAATATAGGATGAAAGTTTTAATAGTGAATCAGTAGGTATATGCAATCAAACTAAGTCACGGGTAATCAGTTAATGGAATTATAAATCAATGGCTGAATGACAGTTATGAAAGTAAGCATTACTTTGTGAAGATTAGCGTCTGATCATAGTAGATGCAGAGTGTATTTTAAAGTCACTTCATCATTATCATTGTTAGCCTTGTTATAATGTTACTGTTGGCGCATTGGCCTTCCTAGTGGATTGAAAATGAAGAAGGCAATCATAACCCACTATGCGTGCCTAAAGCAGATTGGTGGGTAATAGCTACTTCAGATGCAGTCGAGAACAACGCATATTGAGCGACCAGTTGCGAAAGGCGACCACAAGCTACGGACGGGTTTTTTCATACATTTTGTATTGTATCAGCGCAAACTAAGCGTTCAAGTGGCCGCATTTGAGCCGCAAGCTGCGGAAGTCCCGCCTAGTTACTTGTGGCTGCGTTTTGTCCCTCGCATCGCACGCACACTCGGCCACAGTACCGCGGTGAATTGTATGTATGTCGAGGGTTTTAATGTTCTCAAAGGGCGGTTGCTTTTAACTTGCCTTCCGAAGCACGGAGCTACTATAGCGAAGACTGGCCATTTCACAAGTTCTCTATCATTCACGATCGCAGACCGAATGCGCTAACCATTGCAGCATCGGGGACATTAACCTCCACTTGTAGAAAATACAATAAAGTTATAGTTCCTACAGTTTATTTAAAACTATTGTACTTATTTGTAGGGAAAACGCTGATGATTCGATTGCCAACATTTATTTTAATCTATATGAGTACTTTGACCCAAATGGAACCATTTGAATTTGTTTACAATTTGAAAAGATATTTTTGGTTTTAATAGACTTGCGTGTGATGTATTGTAATAAATGAATGATTTAGGGATTGGACATTGGCTACTGTGATTGTATTATTTGATAATGGACACAAATGGATAATAAATTGTGGGAAAAGTTAAATCACGTACTGAACGTGTTTCAGAAAGCACACTCAGAATAATAAATACTTAAGTACCATATAATAAAAACAAAATCCGATCAAGACGGAGTTGTACTAGTTTGAAGGTATGTATCTAGTTCATTCATAAAACAAAACTCAAAAATGTTTTTATATGCATAGGTGTTTTTTACCCGATGGCGAAATCCAAGAGCGCGAAGCGCGACGCGCAGACTAGAATGCAGATAATTTTTATTTTTTAAGCATGTAACTGCTCGATATTCAAATCTAAAGAACATTATATATATATAAATTTACACGCGGACCAGGCAGCAGACGGGACTCGAACCCGCACCCTTCGCTATCAGGGCGAATGCACTGACCATTATGCTACCGCGGCCCGGATGGCCGTGTCGAATTCTTTCTAGCCTTTCTTAAGCTGCAAGGCAGCGCCATCTCTTCGTATTGTAGGTAGGGTATAGTGTTTAACAGCCTATATACGTATGTATGTCACATTAGAGATCAAACGCGTGGACCGATTTCGATGATTCATACGTCATTCGATTCGTCTTAATTATGGGAGTGCTACTAAAGATATGCTAGTAATTTCATATAAAATTCTATATGGGGACGATGAGGTGCCATCTTGTGAGCAAGATATAAAATAGTTGATGAATGTCGATATGTCGAGGAAGGTATCATTGTCTAGATAATCGAAAATCATGTTTAGGTTCCTTACACCATTTTTCATTTTATATGACTGTTTAGGGTCTACAACTATTTAAAGTTTTATTATTAACCACTTGCGCTTTTAATTTCAATCTTACGTTTGAATTATCTGAATGGATTTTAATGAAACTTAACAATAATATAGCTCATACATAATTATAAAATATATAATAACTTATGTGGTTATTGAGCGAATTGGCCAATTGCCTTATTGTTA